AGATCTCCTATATTCTTGAATAATCCCCTTGATTTCTATTGTTTGATGTTTTTGTGTCAGATTTCTACATGTGAAAACCAAAATGTAGGCAAAAAATCATATGAACCTTCACTTAAAAGGGTGATACCTCCTGAAGATATTCATTCCAGCGAGAGAGCAATCTTGTACAAGAAGCAGAGTGGAAAAATGATAGTAGAAAGATTTAAATTCATTCCACAAAAAAAAAAAAGAGCGAGTCCATAACTGACCAGCACAATCTCATGTAAATGCTAAAGAGTTTCAAAAGATTGATGCTATAAAAAGTGTTGTTAATTTAACTCACGCACAAAACCGAATGTAGGCTTTGAACGCAAGAGCTTGTGATCAGATATAAAGCACCCAACCACTAAGGCAAATGGGATGCACATAAAAATGTTATTGATGATACAAATTTCTGGAGGCATAAAAATTAATTCAATGGATAGATAATGCAAAATTGAAACTGTAATATGAAATTTCTCTGGTTGGATTTTAAAAAATTTCTATTATTTTTGGCATAAAAAGAGTTAGATGAAAGTCTGGATGAGTTAGCAAATGAGATAACTTGATGTCATAAGCATTGCTACATACAACAACATTACAAGTTGCTATTGTGATCACATGTGAATGCCTTACGAATAAAAATCTGGGTGGTGAGTTTATGAAAGCATTAGGTTGGATATTTGTATATGAAAGCTTTGAGAGAACAAGTCATTTAGTTAGCTTTTATAACATACAAATAATATTCCATAAAATAATAGGTACAGTGATGAGGCAAAATTCAAACATAGATTGCACGCACAATTTAAACTATAATGGGATACCATTTCAGGAATAAAAAAATGAGAAAAAATTTCATAGAGAACATGCATGTATCTCGCTTGATTTCAGAACGACTTCTGAATGAAAAGGAAATTTTTTTTAACAGAGAGAATTGAAAGAATACTCAGAAGATTTCAATGTGCACTATAAACTAGAATACAACTTTACACAAAATCAATTGCAAAAATGCCTTAAAAATTGCAAAAGCAGGAAAACATCAAACGGGTAAGAAATTATTAAGAGATGCTCCTACAAGACCTATTGAGCATATAAGACCTATAAAAAATTTTTCCTTTCCAATAAGTCTAATTTCAAGCTTGTTGCTTGAGATAGAAATATTTTTGAAATAAATCATATTTTCCTTACTAATATTTTGTAGCTTTTTTTTATGATAATACTCTTTTGAAATGCTTTAATATTTATTACTACATCAGCATAAAATACCAAAAATATGTAACAAATAATTAACAATGCAAGCAGCAAGAACATATAGAAGAGACTGCAACATTAATATATGATATTAATTTTTTTAAGTAAAAAAAATATCAAAATAAAAATATACTTGTTTCTCCATCTTAAACTATATGAAATTACATCACTTTCCTGAATATAACGATCCAATGGATAAAGCAAACGCCCGCTGAGTTGATATTCCTATATAGAATCTAATGTCTCAATGTCTTCCCCAAACATCAAACTGGTATATTTTGGACCTAAAAAGACCATTCAATATTGAGTAGGCAAGAATTGAGGCTATTTACATAAATTTAAACAACACTCAATGAGATATCACATTGTGGCTTTCCATGTCTTCCCCAAACATCAAATTAGTATATATTGGAGCTAAGAAGACCATCCAAGGCGAGAATTGAGGCTATTTACATAAATTTAAAAACCGCTCAATAAGAAATATGTATCATATTGTGGCTTTACAACTATCATATGTTGGAATGTTAATTGGGTAGCTTCAAACAAGCTCATGCTCAAATCAAAAGATATATACCGCTCAAGCAAGAGAAACACAAGTACTGTCGTATGAGATATCACTTGTGAAAGTTCATGTTGAATGTTTTAACTATTACAAGGTTGCTCAATTGTTCTTCGAACTTAAAAGAGTTGTGTACAAGCCATATACAAAGTTCAAATCTAATATGATCTAATGATATCGACAGAGTTTTAGAGAAATAATTAGGAAAACGTAACAAGTTTGATATAAGTATACCATTTAAGAATTTGCAATTGAATATGAAAAACACTTAATGCAATTGTCTAACTAGTTAGTATAGACATATATCTAATTATAAAGATTAATTAAGTTTTTTAGTTATCGACAAAAATTTGAACATATTTTTTGTTCATGATTGATAATTTTATTATTCTCAATTTTAACATAAGAATTCCGAGAAATAAGTTTAGACAACAACAACAAAAACAAGCCTTTCTCCCACTAAGTGGGGTCGGCTACATGAACCCTTTTTCTCCATTGCGTCCTATTGAGTGTCACATTTTCATTTAATTCTAATAAATTAAGATCATTTTTACACAATATGCCCAAGTTTTTCTAGGTCTACCTCTACGTTTCTTAACATAAATCGAATCCAAAACATCTACTCTCCTAATCGGATCATCAGATGGTTGGCGTTTAATGTAACCAAATCATCTAAGACGACTCTCTCTAATTTGTCCCCCATTGGCGCTACACCAACCCAAGAAATAAGTTTAGAGGAATCAGAAATCCAATTTTTTCATTCTAATTGCAATTGTATCAAGCCCAACTTTGGACCCCTTTGAAATACACTCCTTGACAATGGATTTTTTTAACCTGAATTGATAGCAATACAGATCTTGATAGATATAATTTCTTCCGAGAAGATTCTCATGAAAAACTATATGAATTTTCCTTTGATGCATTTAATAGGAGCATTGTCGATAACATTGACCAAAAGAATGATAACGTTAATGCAATTGATAGGAAACTAAACAAGAAAATTAACTAGAGATTCTTCATGCACTTGAAAATATTGAATTAAGTCTTGCATCTAATATCTCAAGAAAAAATGTATGCAGAAAACTAAGTAATTGGCCATCTCTAAGCAACTTGGATTTTATGTTTCAAATGAGTAATGACTAGAGTATCAAGCCCAACTTTGATCCCCTTTGAAACATGCTCCTAAACAATGTAGGAGCTCTTGAAATTGAATTGATAGAAATACCAATAAATGTTAATAAATAATTTATTTCAAGGAGATTTTCATAAAATAAAGTACTTGAATTTTTCTTTGATGCATTTCATTGGAACATTGCAAATATGATCAACCAAAAAAATGATAATGTCAATGTAATTGATGGGAAACTAGATAAAAAGCATTAACTAGACGATGATGATGGTGATGCTAGGATAAATATGCTTTCTTCTATTTCCAAGAGAGTCCTAAACACAATATCATAGCCCTATTTTGAAAACTTTCACCAATAACAAAGACCAAGGATTGACAAGTTGCTCATAACAGATGTAATCCCTATTGGAAGAGAATAATATTTGTGCACAAAAAAAAATGAAACTATAAATGATAAGAAGGGTGACTTTCAATTCTTCTTAAAACATGTAGGAGCCAAGGGGTGACCTTGGCTGATGCTAGGAAAGGCGCCTTGCATGCTATTTTTACCTATGAAAATGAAAAATAAGAGTGTATTTCTCTCTATGTGGCTGTTCGGCAGATGTTAAGTGACAAAAAACTAGCACTTGAATGGAAATTTACTAATGGAGATTCAGTATGAGCAATAAAGATGGATTTAATTACTTTGATTTGGTCAGAGCTAGCACATGTTCATTGTTGAAGTAAGGGGGTAAAACATAGCAAGATTGTCCTAAAATTCATTAGAGCATCATTTCAAATAGTGCAACTCGAAACACCGGCTAATACAGCACCCAAATCTAAAAGTAAATTAAACAAAAAGTGGGGTTGGACAAAAAATCTCATTCTCATTTAAACTTCATGCCAATATTGTTACTATTATCCACTACACCTTCCCACCAAGCTTTCCCAAATAATAAAAAGAAAGATAGTATAGTGAAGTTATTATATTTTCATCCAGGGAGCATTCATTGACAAAAGTTGAAGGCATTTGACAGCTCATTGAGATATCAAGTGGCTTTAGTATTTCACGCTACCACCTAGAATCAATTGAATAAATTCCCAAGTACCCCACGTGTCATAATCAGACAAAAGTCATAAAATATATCTTTACCCTACTTGGAGCTGCGGTACTGAATATTCTGAAGCAAATATTCTACTAATTCCCCATAATGTACCTCTCCATTATATCAAGATCCTGGTTCATAATAGTTGTTCTGGGCCTCTATTGTTGTTGCTCTAATTCTCTTGAAATAGGATACCCACGCCCTAAAAAGTGGGGGAAGGGGTCACAATCTTCCCTACTGATATCGGAGTTCCGGCATCAAATGGAATAACTGGATGTAGTGCAGTTGTTTGGAATGTCACTGGAATACTTATCCGAGTAAACTCGGTGCCTTTATGAAGTTTTCAATTCCACATCTGGAGCTCAGAGCAATCTGGAAGACCTTCAATTCTTAAAGCTCCTCTTTGGTGTCAGAGAAACTCTTCCATAGGGTGATTGATTGAACAGTTGATGAAATATCTGGTATTAATACATATTATGTGCATTGGCTCAAGCAACTTCCATTCTATAGAAAAACCTAATTTGAAAAAATGCTTGCTAATTAGCAGAATGGCAGGCTAGGAAAAGGCCAAGAGCAATAGGATGGATAGTTTTCTTTTATATTATGTTTACTCAATATCAAAACCAGATGAATAACTTTCTTTTTCTCTAACAAAAATTCTCAAATCAATAATAAAATATCTTCATTTATACTCATAAATTCACAATCAAGGTATTACCAACGCCTGGTGATCTCAGTCCTTACTTGCCATAGAGCTAAGCGCCTACCCTTACATCTTAATCTTAGCATGCCTTGTGCAAGTCCGACATATCAAAGAAGAAAATAGAGTAGTGACTGCCACATACTATTGAAACGATAGTTTAAGAAAATATCAATCCTTCTTCCAACGATCAATATCAGCTCCCAAATAAAAATTTTAAAAAATAAAAAATGAAAACTGAATAAACAATTAACGCACCTTTTAGTGACGAAAGGGATGTCGAAATGCGTGGTGACGGCCATAAGGCCATTGCCCGAGCGATCGAGCATGCTGAATACCTGTCCAACAAAAGCGGGTCCTCCGCCACCCCCTCCCTTTCGGCTAGAGCCGAGTCCATCGACTCCAACGCTCGATGAAAAGCTCCTTATCGAGCACGAGGGCAAGGCTAGGTTCTGGTTCTGTCCAAGAGAATATAACGAAGAGGGTGGGGAGGAAGAGGACAGCAGTACAGGTACAGTAACGACTGAAAGCGGGGATGGAGGCGGCGGCGTGATGTTGGAATGGGTGTTGACGCGGTTGGGGAGGAGTGCGGCGAAGGGCAAATTAGAGAGAATATTCGCTGTGAGGGACTGCATGCACCGACCAGCGGATTGGAGGAGCAAAGGAGGGTCTCTCTCCGACGAGGAGAAGGTGGAGGGCATCATCGCCGACGCCGAGGGTGGTGCGGCGGAGCTTGGAGGCTTGGCGTGCTGATTGCAGCCGGGGGATTCAGGCTCGGCACATTCAGGTTTCTTCTAGAATTCTTTCAGGGGCCGATCTGATCTGATGCAACCCAAAGTAAGATTTTCGTAAAGCTTATAATTTTGAATTTAATAGATTCTGACAGAATTAAATCCCAAAAATTGTTGAGCAAGAGATATAAATAAATTTGATTAAATTTAATTCACAAATAAGAGTAGAGCAGGGCTATGAAGCTACGAACACACAAGTCAAGCTTAATGTTACCTGTCCCCACAACAAATTTAGGATATATAAGATCAAAATGTTTCTATGCTTATTCATTTATGGGATGACTTATTAAACTGATTTCACTATATATGACATGATTTTAGCTCATATGTGGAGTATAGATCTTATTTTTGGTTGAGGTTTACCCTATTTTTTTAGTAACCTAGGGTCTAGCTACAGGACTTTCCTATTGACTATTCCTAGATGACTAAAAAAGGAACCCTCATAATTAGAAATTCTAAACTTTTTTTTGCTCAACGTGAAGTTCCACATATTGGTTTTAACCTCTAGCACTTAGTAGGTGGGGTCAATATGGAGGAGCTCAAGAGGAGTTCCCCATAAGATGGTCCCATAAGATGGTCAAGCCGTCAAGCCTTAGGACTAACCCTGGGTGGTCTGGTCTTGGTTAGGCTAGCTTGCACACACTACAATTTTTCACACAACCCAAACCCTAGGACCCCTTGATTTAGTCTCCTCACTCATTTTGGAAACTCATATGGGTGGACCCAAACCCTTAGCCTTTGGCTAAGAATGTTAGGATCGGCATATTGAACATCCAAAATGAGTCATCATATGGCTCATATCACTTTGACATGGCTTCATGACTTACTTGTCCACTATAGCCCAAACTTCCACCAAATTACCAAAATACCCCCACAACCCTATCTTTTGCCAAAAATTCCTAAAATTCCCTAAATTCTCAAATTCCTTATCAAAATCATCTCAAATCATTCTATACTACCCAAATTGACCAAAATTCACCAAAATGCCCAAAATTAGCCAAAATTATCAAAATGTCCCTCATGACCCAAAAACTCCCAAAAATTCCAAAATCATCCCAAATATGCCCAAAATTAGCCAAAATTATCAAAATGCCCCTCATGACCCAAAAACTCCCAATAATTCCAAAATCATCCCAAATGTCCCCAAAATCAGTTTGAACCACTCCCATGAACCTTTGGACCACTCCCATGAACCCAATTTGACCAAATTGTCTCATTTTGACCAGAACCCACAAATTGCCCTTAAAGACCCAATTTCCTCAAATTAGCCCCAATGTCAACCAATTTGACTACAATCTTCTCCAATGTCAATTACAAACTCAAATTAATCATGTACAAACCTGATTGAAGCCCAACCCACACTCAAGCCCAAATTCATCCCCAATTTTAAAAGCCCAAGCCCTTAATTCATTCAAAAAGCCCAAAATTTACCCAAAAGCCCGCATGATAAATTTCCCCTCATCATCCATTTAATCAAAAACATTCCCTAAGTTTCCAATTCATGCCAAAATTATTCCAAATGAAGCCTCATGACAAACTCCACAAAAATACCCCATAATTCCAAAATCCTTTCTCATGCAAATTATTGATCAAGTCAAGGACAAGCCATGAAGTCATCCCCAAGCCATAGGTGGGTCATGTGAGTTTTTGCCACCTCACCAAGCCATTAGTGGCAAAAGGAGGAACCAATTTCAAGCTTCATTAAAAGAGGTTTTAACCCTTGTAATGACACACTCTAACCCATGCTTAGCCAAATCCCTTGGATGTAGACCTCTCCACACTATTTCAGCTGGCTCATCTGACTTTGGTAAGCCATGGGAAGCCACCCAAGTCCATTCTAATGGGGCTAGACCATGGTTGACCCAAACTAGCTCAAAGCCCCTTCCATTTCAATTAATCACCTTTACAAATGGCAACCCCAAACTGACTGTTCCAAACTCAAGCCCTGACCACCCTGACCAGATTGTGACCCCTCCTTGGGTGGCTAGCCACCTTGGCTGCCGAAAAACACCATGCCCGAGAGGTCAAAAAAGGTCAACACCCAAAAATAAGCCAACTGAGCTACACCAACCCAATTGGACACTTGCACCTTTCTTCCCTCCACCTAAGCAGTCTCTTGCCTCCAAGCCACCTCAGCCATCCATGGCAGCCACCATGGCCTCCCGTATTTAAACTCATCCTCTAATGCCCAAAGGGGGAGATGTTCAAATTCCTTGGAGAGACTCTGCCAATTTGTTCCCAGAGCTTCTCCAAGATCTCCTAAGCTCAACCATCCCTTTTCTAGCCCTCTCCTCCACTGACCAGAGCCAATTTCTCAGCCTAAGTTTAAGCCCAAAACATGACACTTCTGAAAACTCCACCAAATCTAAATTAACTTCACCCACAACATCCCCAGAGCCAAAGAAGAAGTACCCCATTGAAAGCCCCATCACCATACCACCCTAGCCTAGACTTTGATCAACTCCCCAAATTGTGTTTGGTTGATTTAATAATCGGACCCAAAAAGAGCTCAAATTAGTGCTTGAAGGAGCTTTGTGAGGTCCTCACGAACTTGTCAAACACTTCTAATTGAGGCTTCACCTCTTAGACAAAGGTATTGAGCCTCCCCCTCATCCCGAGCTTAGATTAATTCCCATGCATGTGTGCTATATTTCATACCGTATAAACTATATGGATGTGTTTTTCTAGGCTAGATGCATCTATAGGAACAAACACAAAGCGATTTTAATGAGTCTAGGTCGAGATATTAGGGTTTTAGTGTGGACGGCTCACGGGTTACCCCAATTAGGGATGAAGTCGGACAACCGTTGGATTGCGCATGTATCAAACGAACGGAAGAGATCGCGTCAAACAGACTCTTGGTGCATGAACAGCGAGCCAAGTTAGCGCTGACTCAGATGGCGACACCAAACCCGAAGACGCCTCGTGGAGGTTTCGGAGATGCTGAGGATTGCGTGGCATCTCATGGTTTAAATAGAAAAATAAGGATTTATTGATTTAATTAAATTCCATAGCTTAGAAAATCCATATCTTGGTGTAAACAAATCATAAAAATAAAATAAAAATACCCTCATGCTCAGTGAATAAAGGAGAATAATGTGGAAATGGTTTCATGTCTGTTGCGTCCATGTGTGATTTTTAAGTAATTAAATATTTTATTTCTAACTTTTTTTCCATTGGCATTGATGTTTCACCATGACTTGATTCTTAGGGCTTCGGTTCTCTCTGTCATGAGAGATCTTCCCTAATTTATCTAAGGTCAAGGGAGATCTCTAGACAAAGATCTCTATTTTCAAGCATATAATGTATGTTTTGATAAAATAATTACAATAATTAAAATATTAATAAAAAAAAATAAAAAAACTTATTTTGGTAGGCTCACAGTGACTAGAGGACCCTAGAAAAAATATAAACTTGGTTTAACTCATTAAGAATAACCCTATTTGTCACCAACCCTTAAAAATAAAAGAAAATTAAATTGGAATAACTATAAATGTAAATGGAATAAAAATTATCCTCGACTGTAATTTAAAGTCAGAGTAACTCTCCATAAAAATTTCAAGTCATTTGGGATTAATTTAACCACTAAAATTAATTAATTAAGTGAAGTTACATTTTTAGCACTAAAAAAATTGGAATAATTAAAATACAATTCAAAAAATCACCAAATTGGCTTTGGGAGCTTCTTATGACAATAGGAACCTAAGAAAAATAAAAATGTAATTAAAATAAATATTTCATTTTAAAGCTATTTTTTAAATATTTAAATAATTAAAAATTAATTAAAAATCATAAAAATTTCAAAATTGTAAAAATACAATAAAATGTCATATTTGGCTTCCTCATCACTTGGGACCAATTAAAATAGTTCTCCTAATTTTCTAAGTCAAGATATTAATTTTTAAAGGCTTAAAAAATGATTTTTCTTTAATTTTTCACTAAAATAATTCTAATAATTAAAATTTAAACCAAAAAAATATAAGATTTGTTTATCTGGGTTCCCTGGACTCAAAGAGATTTAATAAAAACATAAAATTTAATTTTTCCACTTAAATAAAATATTATATTTAATTAATACTCAAAATGAACAAATAATTCTAATAATTAAATTAAATCTTTAAAAATCATGAAAATTGGTTCAAATGGTTCTCTGACCTAGATGAACCTCCAATAATTTTCTTAATTACATAAGTTCTGTTTTGGTTGAGTTATTTAATTTTCATTAAAAATCCCTATTTTTGCATTAAAATAATTATAAAATTAAATAAACTAAAAAAATCACATTTTCTCCTATGATGTTTTAATTAACTCATGAGTGGGGTAGCACAAACAATTTTAAAGTCATTTGAGTTTAATTTAATGAATTATGAAGTGTTAAGGCCTTAAGGGCAAAATGGTAATTTTGGAATTTAAGTCTTTATTAATATTTAGGTCTAATCAAAGGGTAAATGGGTAATAAATGATCTTAATTGACATGTCTAGATGATTGAAATATAAAAATGATAATTGGTAACAACTAATCACACTTTGGTCTCATTAAAGATAAATTTGTAATTTCTCAAATTGATGAAATTCAAAAGAGTAATTAAATAAGGAGACATCAAGGTTGGGGTTTGACTTTGGAAGATCATAACCCACTAATTTAAAACCCCAATTAATTGTTTAAAGTAATTTATAATTCATGATAGGGATTAAGAGTATAAATATTTAAAAAATTTTCTAAAAATTACAAATCTACTTATTATGTTTTAAGGGCTTAGTAGTGAATTAGGCTTAATTAAAATTTTGTATAATGCGTTTGATAAGGTTTAGAAAATGAACTATAAATAATTTGAAACTTTTTAAAACACTCTAAGCCCATCTTTAAAAATCAAACCGACTAAATTTCTTAATTAAGTCAGATTGCCCTTAAGGGCCTTTACCCATATAATTCGTAGGTGAAGCATCAAATGATAAGTACCCCACTTAAAGGGATAATCAAAATATCAATGTTCATTGAGCATAAGGGTATGAATTGGGTGAATCATATAACAAACATAATAAGACCAAAATGGACTCTAGACGATTCGAGGGATTGTGAAATATCTAGGGTATTACCTAGGACCTTTTTATGATCCTTTGGGAATCTCGGAGAACACTTGGATATATTATGATTTACTTGATGGAATCATCCCCAGAGATGGTCAAATTGGGTCCACCAATGTATAATATAGGGTCTGGTAGACACACTTCAAACCCGTACTCTTTGCTTTTCCTACAAGCATGTTTTAATTTCTGCAAAATCACACACACACACACACACACACACACACACACACACACACACACACACACACACACACACACACACACACACACACACACACACACACACACACACACACACACACACACACACACACACACATATATATATATATGCATTGAAAGTACTAATCTTTCAGGTGGAGGAATGAGAAGAATTGACATGTACGCTTTTAAGTTTTTGCATTGAAATTTAGTTTTATTTACCTTTTTTTACCTCTTGTTTCCTGCTATAAACCTGCATGTTAAACAACAAGGTCATCCTGCATGTCAAAACTAAAACTTTTAGGATAACCATAAAACTAAAACCAAAACAAAATAAAATCTACCGCCACAAAACCAAAACTAAAATTAAGAAATCAAAACAAAATAAAATCTACCGCCACAACAATCAAAATATAAGATAACTCAAAATTTAATCATAAACAAAATAACAAAATAAAAATTGCAACTAAATTAAAACGTCTCTATCGAATGATCTGGAATCCCTCGGAGGAGGTAACCTACGATTGCTAACGAGATTTCTCATGGTCTAAATGAAAGTATGAAACTCATTGAGTTGAGTTTAGTAAATTCATTTGAGACTAAGTGAATCTGAAAAAAATAGTGGTGCCGGAATGAGGGAACCGTGAGATCCTATCTGGTGTCGCTGTAATCCCCCCAATCCCCCCCATAATAATTAAACTTAAACTTGTCATTTAACCTTTTAAGCCTTGGACTTTAGGACTACTACTTCACCGAGAAACTTGGAGCTAACTTTGTGGGCAATAATCTGCGACAGCATGAGGATCTACAACAACATATCTTCTCCTTAGAATTAAATAAAAAGCCATAGGATTCCGACGTTGTCCATCTAGTGCGACATAAATCCTCAACTCTTTCTTTAGACCTTTGCACAACTATGTTGTGCAATTTAAGCCCTTCTTCATTTAGGATTCCGAGGTTGTCGTTAGTCAAGATCTAAATCCTCAAATCTTCCAAGTTATTTATACGATCGTTTCACACAGATGTAAGCTCTACCTAATAAAATTGACAAGATGAAACATTTGAATAATTTTCTTTCCTGAAATTGAAGCCAAATAGTAGGATAGCTTGCAAAGTCATTGAGATTCGTCTCAGGATCTGTGACATCCCCTAGTTCTTCTTCCTTTGAATCCCAAAACAAAATGTTCCAAATTTGAGTCATTTCCCCTTCACACATTCTTTGTCTGATCTATTGAAAAGTCATATCTTTTGAACTATTTGAAGACAATATCCACTGATTTTTATCTAAAGTTTTTTTAGGTGATTCAAGTTATCTAAGATGTAATTAACTATAGAGGCTTACCCTTATAGGAAACTTTCAAGAACTCGGCTTAATATAAACTATTTAATTTTTCGTATTAAATTGAGAACTTGTCGATCAACATAAAAATATGATTTTTCATAGATTTAAATGGATGTCATAAATTCTTTAGTTTATTTAATCGAGTCTCATCAATAAGTAGTGTGTCTACCCCTCAGGATAGATGCATTGTTTGCGGTGTTAGACTCGTTTATTTAAACTAATAAGAATATGAGATCAGTTCAGTATTGTATTTTCAAAATTTAAAAATGTTAATTTTTTCATATTATATATACATAAATTAAATTAAAATCGGACGTCGGGATATCCATTATGGCAACCGACAACTTCCAATTTGGCTACCGATATGGAATAGTACATATAGAAATAAATATTTTGAAGATGTGGAAAATTGGTAATTAATAAAAGAGGTGCTCGTATGGAACTTTTTTTTTTGTTTCTATATTTTTTATTCGGAGATTTGAATCTAAGAGACTCACAAAATTTACATTGATTCTTCATTTAGCAGCTTTATAAAATAATATGCATTTATTAACACAACAATTAATCTTCTCTGATTTTAAGCCTAACTTTAAGACCAAATTTTTTATTATATATAAGTCTTGTGGAAATAAATTTTTTTTGGATTTATCCCTTTCAATAATCCTGCAACATAATTGAAGTACTCTTGGGGCATGTTAAACTTCATCTTAATTATTTAACATTCTAAGAGCTACACATAACTCATAATGGGATGCACAACCTTCTTATAATAGTTTTTGTGCCGCGTTTTGTGATTTATACAAATTATATTTAGCTTCTTGGTTTAGTGGCTCTTCCTCCATTCTACTCGGACAATAAGTAATCAATTTGTTAAAAGCTATTTCTATAAGTCTATTTGAGCCAAACACAAGTGATGAATCATATCACGTTGAAAAAATAAAGCTAATGGAAGCGTCAACTTAAATATAAATAACAGATTCAATCTAGTAATGTGAAGTCTAAAATCAATAGTTTAGTTGAAATCCTTGACATTATAAGTCTACCTAACTTCTTTAGTTGTTAAGTATGCTTAATTTTTGTGTTTCGAATTATACACCGAAACTTATCCTTAGATAAGTATGTTAGAAGCTAAGACGTAGCTCGCACGAAGTTCTCAACCACATTAAAGAACTCCTCAAGGAGTCACGTCGCTTGCTCGAAGGTCTCTACCACATTAAAGAACTCCTCAAAGAGTCATTTTATATCTAAATATAGTCTATTGAGCATGAATGACCTAAATATGTGAATATACATAGTCACCTATATATTTGATAAAAAGGTTTATAAAGAACATCTACTACCAAAAAAATTAATTTTTTTTTCATATATAAATTAAATAGCTAAGAAACTTACATACTACACATTTTCATGCTTTGATAAGCAATAGTGTTATGTATATACAAATATGAGAGTTTAGGTGTGAGATATACAAATATATAAGAGTTGTGTGCTAGATATATAAATTTCCCCTTTAAAAGGGTAATTTACATATGTATTGCACATTTCTTATGCATTTACATATCTCAAACCTAACTTTCATATTTGCACACATAACACTCAAAATCTTAATATCAAATCAAAATAACACTATTATACTGCTAGATGATGGAGAGACAAAGAGTGTTGTAAATCAGATTGTAAATACTTTGTGTCCTTCAATTTTGTGTAACAATGGAAAAATTCATTGATGATTTGAGCTATAGAATTCTAACAAATGTTTATTATTAAGAGGCTTGTACACATCTACAAATGAAATAACAGAGCCAAAATCTCAAAAGAATGTGGATAAAAAGAAAACTAAAACAAGGATGCATAAAACAAAAAATAATTTACCTCCGTTTGGGGCAGCTTATCCGCTGCAGAGGCAATTTGAAAACGTCGTCTCACCATTTGGAAACTGCGTTTGAACAACTTATCCAAAAAGGTAGTTGGTTTTTTACACTAAACGAGTAACTCGGGTCGAACCCTGCGGTCCGCGTTTCCGGATAAGCGGCTTATCTGGATAAGCACAAGCTCCCCCAAACACACCATTTAGAGCTTGGAGAAAATGTAATTCTATAGTATAATTTTGCAAATTCGATTATTGAATTGCTTCAAATATACACATTTAACAAAATGCAAGAACTTTCTTCTAGACTGATACATTCATCACTCATCCACCATAAGCTTTTGCAAAGAAGTGGCCATTTATGCTAAGTTGTGAATCCCTTGCTCTTTCTTCTGCAGCTTCAGCTTCAGCTTCTTTCAATAAAAATTCAGCCTCTTCTGAGTCAACCAATTCAAGAGGTGCTGATCTTTCAGACCTTGCAGCAGCATCAATCAGCTCGTGTCTCTTATAACTTGCAACAGCTGCTTCCTTTTCCTTTAATAATACAAGCTCTTCTTTTTCCTGCATCGTGCTAATATTGTTTTCAATATCTTCATCTAACTTGTCAAGGTTTAGAATTGCATTGTCCATTTTATTCTGCATGATTTCCTTTTCAGAGTTCAGTGCCCTTGCTTCAGCAGCTATCCGCCCGGCTTCCTTAAAATTTATTGCAGCAGCAGCAACTTTCTTACTCTGGTGGAAGAAAGTTCCTGCAAAATATAAAATGTGTCAAGATATTTGAACTCTTTTAAGTTAGAAAGGATCTATAAAAAGGTGCGGCAGAAATGCAAAACAAAGATTTTGCTAGGGACCAGCCTGTAGTTTAGTTCCTGCACTGGATATTATATGTTGTCAGAGCACCTGGATTTCCTCTAGAATTCTCTCTTCTGTCCTCACCAACTGCAATTTGTCTTCTCTGGACTTTAAGAAGGATGAAGCTAATTCTTTTCTTAATGCAACCAAATCCTGATAGATTTTGGCTTCTTCCAAAGCAGCATTGCCATGTTCTCTGAGATTAAAACACTTCTGCTCTTCTAAGGAAATAAATTTATCAATTATTTCTTTTTGATGATAATAGCCTCGCTCTGCGTCGATCCGAGACATAGCAGACTTAAAATTATCATATGCTTAATGTCAACACTAGAACTTTTCTCTTGAAACTCTGATACAACTTGAAAAATTTCTCTCTGCTTCATGGATCTGAGATTCATTCTCAGCAATCTCTGATTCCTTCAATCTAACTAAATTCAGAAGCTCATCCAACTCCTTTGCGAAAGCAACTCGTCAACCTCCTCTCTATCATCTTTAACCACGTCAACAATGTAACTATCCAATGTTGAGCGTGCATCTGATATGAGTTTTGCTTCAATATCCATCTCAAGCATGCTCATCTCTAACAGTTCCATTGATGTTTGCCAATCCTCTAAATCTTTGGAAGAAAGTTTCTTGGCTTTTCTATGAATTAGATCTGCTCGATCAGCAGCATCCTGCAAAAGGTAGGGTTGAAAGTTGCAATTCTAGGTTGCTAGATGCTCAATAATATCAACAAGAAAACTAATGAAAATGCGCATACTCGAAAAAAAATAACCAGAAATTTTGCTTTAATGGTGTTGGAAAACACTTCAATTTCTATAACAAAGCGTGTTTTCCTCTTTTAGAAGAAAGGTCTGGATCTATACTTCATTTTCAATATTCATACCATCTTTAGTAAGAAAACTATAGAATCAAAACTATTTTAGAGGGAAGATCAGATATGGTTCATTGGAGGCGATTCATATTCAAACAACCATGACTTGGCTATGTAACTCAACAACAACAACAACAACAACAACAACAACAACAAAAGTAACATGCTGATTACAAATATAACCCATAAAAAAACATTACAAGATATGAATCTAATGTGTTGTGGAAGGTTGTTTGTCTCTTGACTCCTACTATGGAGAAATCATTACATCCGGATTCCGTAGGTGAGGATAGTAGTATTGGTAGTATTGTGGGGATATTTTACCATAATACCCCCATAATATTACCAATACTGCCATCCGCACCTAATCCAAATATATCTCATCCGGAAGTAATAATTTCTCCCTACCATGACATGGTTCAAGGTGGCTCATGTGATTGCGATGTGGTAAAGGAGATCTAAGAATAACGAGAGATGGGGTGTCTACAAATAATTGAGAGAAGAATCACAGCGTTTATGAACTGCAATGGAACCATAAAACCTAAACATACTACAGCCTAAATACCCTCAACTACTGAAACGAAAATTACATGCGACTCTAGCTCTTGAGCATGCTTTGGGTACCAAAACATGAAATATGTGAAGCATAACGTCATGTGTGAGTTAATCTTCTTAACTGCGCCTGAATATTTCATAGTGAAGAAAAGCATTTTTTATGATATTTTATGGCTCCCAATAGGATTACAACTGCAGCAATCTCGCATTAAACTGCTCCACTTGAGAAAGTTATTTTTTATAATACTAAAGCTATAAATATGATGTGTTATGAATACACTTAAGTATGTGAAGCCTTTTTGGAGAGTTTGGCACTGAAAATATTTATTGGCCTGCACACACGAGAGAGGAGGAGGTGAAACAAAGACGAAAAATAAGATAGGAGGATAAAATAATCCGGTTGAGAAATGGAGATGCATAAAAAAAGGAGGATGAAAATAAAGATGAATGAACACCTGTAAGGGTGGGAGGCAGAGGGTAGAGATGAAGCAATGCTAGAAAAGGAGAGACTTTGCAGAGAGGTGGCCACAAGAACCACTAATCTAAATTCATTATCACATTCGATTCATAATTTATTACAAGCAAAACTACCTTACCTTATTTATTAGATATTAAGAAAAGATCAGCAATAAAATTAAATTTATCCTTATCAAAAATAAAATAAAATTTACTAAGGTTAATATCTAACCAACAATACAGTCGTTTCAATTAAGATATCCCTTGGACTGCTTGTTCACCCAAAATATGCTAAGTATGTTTTAGTTAATAAGAATCAAACTAAATGAATGTAATAATTATAAGGGATTTCAGATGCCTTAAAAAAATAGACCGGCATACCTTGGCAAATTGCTTAAGAAGCTCTAGTCCATCTTCCTCAGCAGCTATCTGCAAATTAAGAGCTTCCTGCATCCTTGAATCAGCATAATGCCAGTCCAGCTCCGTCTCTCTCAATGTGTTCAGCAGCTTATCCTTCTCCTTCTCTGCTCCTGAAAGAGATTCACTGACTCTCTCAATGTGCTCAGCAGCATTTTTCTTTTACTTATTTGAAGCTTAATATGAATATGATAACCTACTAAACTACATTACAAATCAGAAAAATCCCTTTCAAATATTACTAGAGCCTTTCAAAACTCTCCCGAAGTTAATTTCATCAACCAAAACATAACATACAGAGTACAGCTAAGAAAACTACGGCTTGATTAATAGTTCATCATCTGTGTACATAATGAACTAGCCCTCACGACAGGATTACATGTATTAAGCCCATAAAAAACCTTACCTACAGAACAGTCCTGCAAACTTGCAAGAACAACCTTACTCCAGAAAAAAAAAACAAATTTACATAAACATCAGTGAAATTCAGCAATCACGGTGAATAATACTGAACAAACGTTGAGAAGATAATCAAGCTCTCCGTTTGCTCAAGCGCCATGAATTAGGCTCATGGTATCTGTCATAGAGTGGCTCAATTCGCTCTTGACGTTTTCGCTTACTCATCTTCGTTGGATCTGCGGATTTATAAAACCTCGGTGCGAGTTCTACGAGCCATTTGGGATCGACTACGGTAACTTCGCGCATGTACTCCTTTGTAGTCATGACCAGTTCATGGTAAATTACCCAATCTGGTTGCCTTTGGAATAGAGCACTGCTGGGATGGATGTAGACTGGTTGATTCTCCACTAGGGTTCTATAACCCTCTTGAGGATCTTTTCTTGCAGCGTGAAAAAAGAATCCTGCAGTAATGGCCTTCCTTATCTTTGTGAAGTTTTTACCGGCACTCAAAACATCCAGTTTATACCTGTAGACCAACAAGAATTCAGATGAAATTATTCAATCTTGGGTTTTTGAAAGTTTGAAAACATGATAACATCACAAGTAGGCAGTGCAAGATAAGTAAATGAGCAGTTGAAGAACCAAGCAATTCTATACAAGTGGCATATTTAGAATTTGTTTGGAGTGGCGGAAGTTACATGTGAAAGGGTTGTAGAATTGCAGGAAAATCAAATTTTTTGAAAGCTGTTTTGTTATAAACTTTTTTATTTTTGAAACATTGGACAAATTCCTGAAATTTCTGAAAGCAAAAAAAAAGGGATCATATACATACCACTCAATTCTTATGTACTTCATATCATGTAAAAAATATAACTATTTAACTTTTAAAAAGTGAACTACACCTTTTCATGTATAGTTTAAGATGAGATGTATGTAAAAATTTACATTTAGGCATTAGATATGTAAATACATAAATAATATTAAGGGTCCGTTTGGGACGGCGACAAGACAGCGTCGCGACCAGGCGCCGCGAAACCTCCTTGTTTGTTTCGGCGTCCCGCTCGCGGCGGGACGCGAATCTAGCGTAGCGCGGGCAGCGGATTGAACCCCGCGTCCCGCTTTCGTGGGAGAGCATTCGTCAATCATACCCTTCCCTTTCCCCTGCCCTAACCTCCATGTTGAAGCCTCCCTGTTTTGTGGAACGTGAGATGATGAACCAAGGAGTTTTCACAACACTTGGCCGAACCAAACAGAAATGTGATCGAATCTCGACGCCGGAGCTCACACGGTAGCCTTCCTCCCCACTCTCGAGTGTGTTTTACTCAACTATAGCGAGCAATCGTCACTATCTACATAGGTAGCGATCCTTTGTCATTGCTTACTTCATCCACAGAATTTCCCTTCTTAGCACTTGATGTGTTCTTCTCAAATCTGAAATGAGCTTTTAAGCAACAATTTTATCAATGGAATATTTGTTTATGCTTGAGAATGTTGTTGATTCAGAGAATGCGTCCTTATCAATGAAATGCTAAGTTCTAGAAGTGACAATTTTCATTAGAAAGTATTACTTTTTAAGCCACGTTGTGAGTGGTAAAGGTATTTCTATTGATACCTTGGTTGTACAAGTTGTTTTTGATTGTCCAAGGTTAACTACAATTTAAAGGTTCATATTCGTATTGGCATGAAAAATTATTATAGGAAGTTTCTTAAAGACTTTTCACAAATTACATTTTTCTTCATTTGATTGACTCAGAAGGTGGTTCCATTTAAGAAGACATTAGAGTGGGAAGAAAATTGTTAGAATTTGAAGGATCATTGGTGTTGGTACTTACTCTAAATATTCCACTTAGTGTTGATATTTTGACTGATGCTTCTTTGAGGCTATCAAAGTTATGTTATATTCTGTATTGTTTTTAAGAGAATTTTTGCCTTAAAAGTATTAAGTTTATGGCTATCACAGTTTTGTTACGCACAACATTACAAAACAGGGACAAAATTGTCATTTGTCCAGAAACAGCTGCCACACAGCTGTTTCCAAACAGCTGAAACAAACAGCCGCCAACTTTCGCGCAGCAGCTTCCCCCACAGCAGCTTTCTGGGGCAGCGCAGCTGCAGCTGAAAAGCTGAAAAACTGCAGCTGCGCCAAACAGACCTTAAAGCTCGTGTTTTGAACAACAAATTATCAATAAGAACTCAATGATCATAATATGAGCTAAACTCAGATCAGATTAAAATTTCCCTGATTTATAATGAGTTGAGCTTAAACACTATCAAATGTGCTTGAGTTGAACTCGAACCAAGCTTGAGTAATTTGCAAATGGCTCGAACACGAGCTAAGTCCTACGCAACTCAGTTCAATTCGCATGTAATCCTAAGCTGTAGCAATAATATAAGGGAAGTGGATTATAAGTGATTCAAATTTGCACTAAACTGTTTAGAAACACTTTGCAAAAAAAATGCATTCATATTAAATGGAAAATAACGTAGATTGCCAAAGAGAAAACAGCATAGGAATAAAATTTGTCTATTAACGATAACATGTGTTCTAGGTCTGCAGCAGCATATGCAACTACCATAACTTAAATTCCAAAAGACCTACCAAACATGAAGCAGATCGTCTGAAATACAAGGAAACAAACAAATTGCAAGCCAATAAGAAACTAAAAGATATAGAAGCACTTAGCATTGCAAAACATAATAAAATTTTCTTAGTGCACAAAACACTGTTTCTTACAGAAGAAAAAGAAGCGAGTTCATCAAAATCATACCTATCCATAATAGTGAGAAGTTGCTTCCTGACATCTTGAGCTCTCCTAAGAGAACGCGACTGTACGAAGTTTTCAAAACACCAAGGGCCAGAAAAGTTCTTAGCTTTCCACGCCTCATAAACAGCAAGCAAAGTCAAGTGGTCACCTTCTGGTTGGAAAAACTTGGCCCGCTTCTGATCTGCCTGGGCTTGCTTCTCCCTTGGCCTATAGAAAATATTGCCAGTTTGAATCATTGCAATGATGGTCAAGATTTCATCGCTGCATCCAAGGTCCACACTGGCAAGCAACATCTTCGATAATGGAGGATCCAATGGGAAATCTGCCATTTTTCTCCCTAATTTAGTCAAAAGTCCCTCTTCATCTAAAGCTCCTAGACTATACAGTTGTTCCATTGCAGATATAAGGGCCTGAGGTGATGGAGGATCCATAAAATCAAAAGACAAGAGATCATTAATCCCCATAGCCTTCATATTCAAAGTTGTTGTCCCAAGATTAATCCTCTGAATTTCTGGAATTGTGGTAGGTGACATTTCATTGCGATAGGCACTCTCGGTATAAAGACGATAACATTTTCCTGGACCAGTACGGCCCGCCCTGCCAGCCCTTTGCTTAGCTGATGCTTGAGATATAGGAGTGATGACCAGAGAATCAAGACCCTGTTTAGGGTTATACACATTTTGCTTAGCAAACCCAGGGTCAATTACATAAAATATTCCATCAATTGTCAAAGAAGCCTCTGCAATATTAGTAGCTACAACAACTTTTCTCTTACCGGGAGGAGCCGGCTCAAAAATTCTCGATTGCATTTCACTTGGAAGAGCACTGTATACAGGCAAGATAATCAGTTCAGGCACATTCTTATCCAGGCCCTTCATTCTCTCATAAAGAGACTGACAAGCATGATCAATCTCTTCCTGACCAGTCAAGAAAAGAAGAATGTCTCCTTCAGGTTCTGTTAAGTGAATCTGCAGAACTGTGATCAGTGCTGCATCTAGATAATCACTTTCTGGCTGCTTCGTGTAGAGTATCTCAACAGGAAATGTTCTACCAGGAATTGTGAAGATATTGCAGTTAAAGAAATACCCGGAGAACTTCTCTGCATCCAATGTGGCGGAGGTGACAATCAACCGAAGTTCAGGCCTCCGTTTCACAAGTTGTTTTAGTAAACCAAAGAGCACATCTGTGTGGATTGTCCTCTCATGAGCTTCATCAAGCATGATAACAGAATACTGGGAAAGGTTGTCATCAACCAAAATCTCCCTCAGAAGCATACCATCTATCATATACTTTATCACAGTTTCTGGACCTGTACAGTCTTCAAACCTAATAGCATAGCCGACTTCCTCACCCAACCGACAACCAAACTCCTCTGCCACCCTTTTTGCAACTGAAGTTGCTGCCACCCTACGGGGCTGTGTGCATCCAATTTTCCCTTTCGTGGTATAACCTGCCTCGGCTAAGTATTGAGTCACCTGTGTCGTCTTCCCAGAGCCAGTTTCACCAATGACAACCAATACCTGATTATCATACACGGCCTGAATCAGCTCCTTCTTCAATTTGTAGATTGGAAGACTCTGCCTATGCTCTTGTATTGAAAGTTTTGATCTTTGGCCAAATGTCAAATCTTTCCCATATGCATCTTTCTCCCATTTGGTTATCAAACACGGCCTGAATCAGCTCCTTCTTCAATCTGTAGATTGGAAGACTCTGCCTCTGCTCTTGTATCGAAAGTTTTGATCTTTGACCAAATGTCAAAGCTTTCCCATATGCATCTTTCTTCCATTCTGGCATGTCATAAGCTGACAATCCTACACCTCTCAGCTCCTGTGCTAGGTGCCTCTCACCTGTCTCTGGCATTGGATCTTCCCATGGTCGATTAAGATCCTTTGGAATGGAATCAAGCATGGTTCTCTGTTGCTGCTCACGAACTTCTCTCCTCTCCTTGATGAGAGCAGACTGGAGAGCTGCAGCCCTACTTAAAGAGCCTTCTGGATTTTTGAAGATCTTTACAGGAGACATGTCAATGGAAAACCGACTCTGGCCTTGCAAAAACGCAGGTTCATCCTCATTGAGTTCAATCTCAAGTTCTTCTTCAGCACCCTCTTCCTGATACAGCAATCCATCCCCCTCTTCATCAAACATTGGATATTCACGAACATCCAGAACACCAGCTGCAATTAGCTGCTTCGCTTCCCACTTCTCAGGCGAGCTCATCCTCTTCAAAGGCCTCCTGGACGATGCATTATTATCATCCTCAAAAATGGTAATCCCCGAGAGGCCTTTCCTTGCAACTGGACCGCTGTTCCCACTAGAGGGGTTGGTCCTTAAAGCTTCATCCTCTGTACTTTTCCTTAGTGGAAGTAGATCCTTCCCGGTTTTTTGATCCACATCCCTCATGGATAGACTTAGCTTTTTCCCAGAAACAGAGATCACTTTCACATATACATCCTGACCACGCTTCACCTCGTCCTTTGCATTGGTTACTCTTCTATTTGCAATCTGTGAAACATGAACAAGCCCTTCCTTCCCTCTGAAATCAGAAAGTTCAACAAAGCAACCATTGTCCATCAGACGCAATACCTTCCCCTTGTAAACCTCATAAAGCTCCGGTTCATCCGAAATCCTTCTACTAGAACGGGTTCTCCCATGCCTAATACCATCATCACCTTCGTCGTCATCACTATAAGATCTATGGTTGCCGTAATCATCTCTTCTATTACTCCTACCTCTATCTCTGTCTCGGTCGTACCTGTGATCCCGATCACGGTCGCGATGGCCTCTACGATCTCTATCATACTCACGATCGCGATGGCGACTGCGATTTCTATCACGATCCCTGTCACGGTCGTGGTACCTGCTTTCCTCCTCCGCTTTAACCTGAGCCTCCTTCTCGATTTCACGCTCGAGCTCCTTGATGCGCTCCCGATCATCGACGCGAGAAAGCCCCGGAAAGGCGGCAGGTTCCTTCTTCGAAGAGGGATCAGATGTCTTGGATTTGGATTTGGGAGGTAAGATTGCATGTATGATGGTGAGGAGAGTGCGAACGAAGTAGTCAGGCATCTCGGCTCCGTTTTCCTTGAGCTTGGCGTCAAATTCCTCAACGGACTCGGCTTTCCGGCCAAGTTCGGTGATGAACTCCGCGAGAACTTTATCACCGCAACCGACATGGCTTTCAAGCTCGGTGCACACCTTGGAAACAAGGGAGAGGTACTCGAGCTTCTTGAGGCCATCCTCGGCCTCCATCACCGCTGCCGGCATGGAAGTAGAATGCGTGGGGTGGATAAAACTAGGGTTACCTTGCTCCGACGTTGCGATCCCGTCGTTGTAGCTATAACCGAGCGGCGGGACACGAAGGGAAGTTTTCGGTTTAGGGTAAGACCGGTAGAGAGGGGCCGGGGGTGAGATCGGCGGGGGGAGGCGTTTCGAGAGGTGAAGTGAAGATTTTGGGGTGTTAATTTATTTTCTTAATTTAATTTTGTTTATTAATAAGAAAAGATTAATTAACATGTTGTCAAATTAATTATAAATAAATAAATTTAAATGTATTTTTTTTAATTTTATTATAAATAAATTTTAAATGTTATATATTAAATTAAATTATTTTAAGAAAATTTTAGTAGTTATTAATTTGTTTAATAAATAATAAAGTAATTTATTAATTAATAAATGTTAATATATTATTTAATAGAATTAGTTCATTCAAATTAATAATAATAATTAATCAGTTCAATCAATATTTAACATTTGATTAATTTTAATAAAATTAAATTAAATATGTCGTTTGAAGTCATTGTTGTCGCCGCCGCTGTAGCAAGACTCCTCCGCTGTCTCAGCCTGCCCGTTGGTCGCCGCTGCCACTTCCCAATCTCGTCGGCCACCGCAAGACGTGCACATTATTTTTAAGTGCACCATTTTCATTTTACTTTAAATCAAGCAAAATGAATGAAATTTTTTATTTATTTTTTCCATCGAATAAAAAAACTCCAAAATAATTTAAATACAATATTCACTTCTGCATTGTATTCATGTTACACAATAATATTTTTTTTAACAAACCAAACTGCCCCTAAGACATTTGAAAATCATATGATAGTTTCGAAGCATACTTTTAAAGTGTGGTATTTCTATTTCTTATAAAGGCATAATTTTAAAGCTTTTAACCACATAAATTCTACTAAAAATTGCCACATTGTTTTTGAAGATTTACTAGAATTTACTTACCAACATACTAAAATATTTTCAGGATTTAACTACCTCATTATTTGATAATATGGATTTACAGGATATAAGAAATCTTACTTGCAACCAAACATCCTCTTATGGTTGGTTTGAAGTTAAGAACACTGCATAGGGATGAGTTTGGCGCAAAAAGAGTTATGTGATAAAGAAAAAGGCTCAAGCCCAATGATCCGGCTCAAACAGTGGGCTCATATATGAAATTTGTTGACTTTCTATTTTTTTTATTATGACATATTTTTTATGTTGCTAAATAAATTACATGCACAACGAATATAAAATTAATCAGTATTATTTTATTTTAAATTTAGTATTTTTAATTTTAATAAAAATTGAATTAAATTTCTAATTATGTATCTTTTTCCATTTTGGAGTGAATACTATTAGCATATAAACAATATTTTATAATTTGATAAAGTGATAGTTTAATGTTTTAGTGTTGTACGAGGATACAACACACACACACACATAGATAATAGAGAAGTAGCAGGAGAAGACACAACACAACTTTTTACGTGGAAAAATCTTGAAAAAGGGAAAAAATTATGAGGTTTAACCCAGTCAAAATAATTCATTATATGATTGTAAGTACATAGGTCAATAATTTTCTTGAATTAGGGAAGATGGAATTACAAAATTGATAATCATATATGCACAAAAAATTTTCAATGATGGTAGTTATAATTGGGCTACAACAAATGTAATTCTTCTCAATAACGCAATAATAGTGATGGTGAGCTGCAAATGTCATAGTTGATTGCTACGAAGATAGTAATCTTCGACAAATATTATATATGGTGGTTGTAATAATATCAGATTGTCACAATAATCAGTAACAAGTATAGAAATTCTGTTGTGGGAGTATTCTAATTGTGTTCTATCAAATAGGAGCAATAATATTCTTTACCTTACTAGAGATGATATAAAGAATGTTAGCTAATCTATCGTTTGAATAGTTTTGAAGACCGGTCAGGTAGATAAGATACTAGATCTCACTATAGAGTTAACTCTTCGCCCTCCACCTGGGGGCTAACATCTTGTATCAGAACCTAAAATTATAAATCAAATTAGGGGATTTAGTCTGTCACTCTAAAGTTCTCTAATTCTACACCCTTCAAATTTTATTTCTTTATTTTTTTGCACTCAACCCCATGAACTACATTCCCATCCATGAAATCAAATGTGATTCTTATCATTTGTTCACTGAGACAATACCATCTCGGATCTTACATGTTCTCACAACATGTATTAATAACTTAATTGGCCAAATCAAGAAGTAAATGAAGTACAAGATTTAAAATAATCACAACTTGTTCTAACATTAAGCTCTAATACAACTCTAATACTTCACACAACTTCCTTTCAATACATAATCACTTATCGTTTTAAGGAAAAAAATAAAGAAAACTACTCAGAATTCATGGAGAAAACACAACCACACTTTAGTTTAAAAGTAGAAATCATGCACACAAACAAGAAATCAAAAATAAAACCAAATTTAGTCACAAAGATAAATACTTATCTCAAATCCTCTCCACCAAATGTCTTGAATTTCCTTTGAATTCTCTTTCTTCATTCACAATACAAACTAAAACTCAAAATAAAAAGAAAGAGTGGCCGGTGGCCGGAGGCGGCGATTACTCGGATGGATGATTGGCTATTTAATGTGGATTGGCCCATTCCTTTGATGAGCCAAGGCTTCTTTAATAAAAATCCAAGAGGTGTCTTGGTGTCTCTTCAAAATGTGTCTTCATTCAATGAATCTTCTAGAAGTTGCATTCTTTCAAAAGCCAACTGAATGAATTTTCTTGTCCATAAAATATTTCCTATGTTTTTACCAATGGTTGCTTCAAACACCTCTTAAAAAATTCATCTAAATTCAATGAATCATCAAATAACTACTTTTGGCGCTTAAGCGCGGCTCTCTCTGTATAACCGTAGTGTAAGCTTCAGTCCTGGGCACTTAGGAGCCTAAGTTCATTTTTTGGCATATTTTTCATTTTTGCTCCAAATTTGATCATTTTTCACTCCTTTTATTATTTTTTATCCATTTGATTGTCCCTGAAAGAAAAACACACAAATTCCTTTCATTAAAGCGCAATATCTCAAAAATAAATATAAAAATGTGTACATAAAGACTATATATTTTAAGTGTATAAGCATCCGCCTGGGCTAAAAGCAAATCCAAACCGTCCAAAAGTTTCTACAATCACCCGATCGAGGCCACACCTCTTGGGCTCTGATATAATCTTGGAACTCGTTTTCATTTACCTCAGCAAAAGAAATAACATTGCATGTTTGTTTTATCGTATTGGCTATTGCTTTTCTTCTTTTACTTTTGCAAAAGAAATGAACATTTTTTATGTCCACTTAGTTGTATGGATAAGAGCATCTTTTTTAGATGATCGTGTAAGACAAACGACGTTCGATTTCATTTTAAATCTGCGAGGATCTTAACATTTTTGGATGGACGGTTCTGGTTAAGCAGATTTGTTTTTCTTATTTAATTAAATCTAATAATTCATTTAATCATTAAAAAATTATATATTAGTATAGAAAATTCACAAAATTAAAAAAATAATATATACCCTGTGCTTAGTAAATAGAGGAGAACATTATGGATCACATTTTTAAGACATTTGTTTATTATTCCGTTTTCAATTAATTAAAATCTCCATAACATAATTAAATCATAAAAAATTGAATAACGCTCATCTTGACTTGAAATTTTAAGAGTTTATTAAACATGTTGTTATGAATGTTTTCTAATTTTTTCAAAGTCAGAGAACATTCATAACGTCAAAACTCTTATTTTTCATGAACTTCATGCTTGTTTAGTAAAATAATTCTCAAAGAGGAAATAAAAATCATAAAAAAGAGAATTTTAGTACTATAAGTTCATTGAAGCCAGAGAAGTCAAGAAATAAAAATTGGATTTAAATAAACATTGGACTTTTCTGAATAAAAATACATTTTTCTCTATTTAATCATCATAGATATTAAAAAATTCTTAGAAATTAAAATACACTTCAAAAAGTAATGAAAATTGTTCTTGTTGGTCTTCTACTTATTAGGAACACCCTAAATTTTTTTTAATGAAAGAAAACATGTTTTGATTAACTGATCCCTTTTTCTTATATATACTTCTGCTTCTGACTGCACTGATAAGAACTAGATGTAAGTTTCCTGACAACAGAAGCCAAAAACTTGATCCCTCTCACTTTTTTGTCTCTTATTCTTCTAATATCTTTTTCTCCCTCCCTTGCTACCTCTCTCTATATTTTCTCTCACATATCTTTATCTCCTCTCTCCCCCTCACTCTCTTGTTCTCTATCGCACTCCTTCCCTTCCTCCCTCTCTCCTTTTATTTCTCTACCTCTGTTGGATCTTCCTCTCTATCTCTCTTCCTCCCATGCTCTTTTTTTTGTTCTCTCTCACTCTCTTCACTCCCCCTACACTCTCCTTCACTCCCTTGTGCCTTCCTCCTTTTCCCACCCTCACTCTCTATTTCTCTCTATGTTCCCTTCCTATCTCTCGGTCCCTCTCTCCCTCTCCCTGCCTTTTTCCAACTATTTATCTTTGTCACTATTTCTCTCTCTGACCCTCCTTTTCTTCCCTTGATTTTTTTTTATTTGATCTCCTTTACTTCTCTTTTTATCTCCCTTTTCTATCTGTTACTTTTTTTTTCACTCTCTCTCATTCTCTCTTTTTTGTTATTCTCTATTTTATATCTTCTCTCACATTCTTTTACCCTCTCTCCCTCTCTAAAAGAGTGGTAAAAGCCATGACCACAAAT